TGTCATGGTGTGTGTCATGTGTGTGTGTCATGGTGTGTCATGGTGTGGTGTCATGGTGTGTGTTATGATGTGTCATGGTGTGTGTCATGGTGTGTGTTATGATGTGTCATGGTGTGTGTCATGGTGTGTGTCATGGTGTGTGTCATGGTGTGTGTCATGATGTGTGTCATGGTGTGTCATGGTGTGTGTGTCATGGTGTGTGTTATGATGTGTCATGGTGTGTGTCATGGTGTGTGTCATGGTGTGTGTCATGGTGTGTCATGGTGTGTGTCATGGTGTGTTCATGGTGTGTGTCATGGTGTGGTGTCATGGTGTGTGTTATGATGTGTCATGGTGTGTGTCATGGTGTGTGTTATGATGTGTCATGGTGTGTGTCATGGTGTGTGTCATGTGTGTGTGTCATGGTGTGTGTCATGGTGTGTGTCATGGTGTGTGTTATGATGTGTGTCATGGTGTGTGTCATGGTGTGTGTTACGATGTGTCATGGTGTGTGTCATGGTGTGTGTCATGGTGTGTGTCATGGTGTGTGTCATGGTGTGTGTCATGGTGTGTCATGGTGTGTGTCATGGTGTGTGTCATGGTGTGTGTCATGGTGTGTGTCATGATGTGTGTCATGGTGTGTCATGGTGTGTGTCATGGTGTGTGTGTTATGATGTGTCATGGTGTGTGTCATGGTGTGTGTCATGGTGTGTGTCATGGTGTGTCATGGTGTGTGTCATGGTGTGTTCATGGTGTGTGTCATGGTGTGTGTCATGGTGTGTGTTATGATGTGTCATGGTGTGTGTCATGGTGTGTGTTATGATGTGTCATGGTGTGTGTCATGGTGTGTGTCATGGTGTGTGTCATGGTGTGTGTCATGGTGTGTGTCATGGTGTGTGTTATGATGTGTGTCATGGTGTGTGTCATGGTGTGTGTTACGATGTGTCATGGTGTGTGTCATGGTGTGTGTCATGGTGTGTGTCATGGTGTGTGTCATGGTGTGTGTTATGATGTGTCATGGTGTGTGTCATGGTGTGTGTCATGGTGTGTGTTATGATGTGTGTAATGGTGTGTGTCATGGTGTGTGTCATGGTGTGTGTCATGGTGTGTGTCATGGTGTGTGTTATGATGTGTCATGGTGTGTGTCATGGTGTGTGTCATTGGTGTGTGTCATGGTGTGTGTCATGGTGTGTGTCATGGTGTGTGTCATGGTGTGTGTTATGATGTGTCATGGTGTGTGTCATGGTGTGTGTCATGGTGTGTGTTATGATGTGTGTCATGGTGTGTGTCATGGATGTGTGTCATGGTGTGTGTCATGGTGTGTGTCATGGTGTGTGTCATGGTGTGTCATGGTGTGTGTTATGATGTGTCATGGTGTGTGTCATGGTGTGTGTCATGGTGTGTGTCATGGTGTGTCATGGTGTGTGTTATGGTGTGTCATGGTGTGTGTCATGGTGTGTGTTTATGATGTGTCATGGTGTGTGTCATGGTGTGTGTCATGGTGTGTGTCATGGTGTGTCATGGTGTGTGTTATGATGTGTCATGGTGTGTCATGGTGTGTGTCATGATGTGTCATGGTGTGTGTCATGGTGTGTGTCATGGTGTGTGTCATGGTGTGTGTCATGGTGTGTGTCATGGTGTGTGTCATGGTGTGTGTCATGGTGTGTGTTATGATGTGTGTCATGGTGTGTGTCATGGTGTGTGTTATGATGTGTCATGGTGTGTGTCATGGTGTGTGTTATGATGTGTCATGGTGTGTGTCATGGTGTGTGTTCTGGTGTGTGTCATGGTGTGTGTCATGGTGTGTGTCATGGTGTGTCATGGTGTGTGTCATGGTGTGTGTTATGATGTGTCATGGTGTGTGTCATGGTGTGTGTTATGATGTGTCATGGTGTGTGTCATGGTGTGTGTCATGGTGTGTGTCATGGTGTGTGTCATGATGTGTGTCATGGTGTGTCATGGTGTGTGTCATGGTGTGTGTTATGATGTGTCATGGTGTGTGTCATGGTGTGTGTCATGGTGTGTGTCATGGTGTGTCATGGTGTGTGTCATGGTGTGTCATGGTGTGTGTCATGGTGTGTGTCATGGTGTGTGTGTTATGATGTGTCATGGTGTGTGTCATGGTGTGTGTTATGATGTGTCATGGTGTGTGTCATGGTGTGTGTCATGGTGTGTGTCATGGTGTGTGTCATGGTGTGTGTCATGGTGTGTGTTATGATGTGTGTCATGGTGTGTGTCATGGTGTGTGTTACGATGTGTCATGGTGTGTGTCATGGTGTGTGTCATGGTGTGTGTCATGGTGTGTGTCATGGTGTGTGTCATGGTGTGTCATGGTGTGTGTCATGGTGTGTGTCATGGTGTGTGTCATGGTGTGTGTCATGATGTGTGTCATGGTGTGTCATGGTGTGTGTCATGGTGTGTGTTATGATGTGTCATGGTGTGTGTCATGGTGTGTGTCATGGTGTGTGTCATGGTGTGTCATGGTGTGTGTCATGGTGTGTCATGGTGTGTGTCATGGTGTGTGTCATGGTGTGTGTTATGATGTGTCATGGTGTGTGTCATGGTGTGTGTTATGATGTGTCATGGTGTGTGTCATGGTGTGTGTCATGGTGTGTGTCATGGTGTGTGTCATGGTGTGTGTCATGGTGTGTGTTATGATGTGTGTCATGGTGTGTGTCATGGTGTGTGTTACGATGTGTCATGGTGTGTGTCATGGTGTGTGTCATGGTGTGTGTCATGGTGTGTGTCATGGTGTGTGTTATGATGTGTCATGGTGTGTGTCATGGTGTGTGTCATGGTGTGTGTTATGATGTGTGTAATGGTGTGTGTCATGGTGTGTGTCATGGTGTGTGTCATGGTGTGTGTCATGGTGTGTGTTATGATGTGTCTGGTGTGTGTCATGGTGTGTGTCATGGTGTGTGTCATGGTGTGTGTCATGGTGTGTGTCATGGTGTGTGTCATGGTGTGTGTTATGATGTGTCATGGTGTGTGTCATGGTGTGTGTCATGGTGTGTGTTATGATGTGTGTCATGGTGTGTGTCATGGTGTGTGTCATGGTGTGTGTCATGGTGTGTGTCATGGTGTGTGTCATGGTGTGTGTCATGGTGTGTGTTATGATGTGTCATGGTGTGTGTCATGGTGTGTGTCATGGTGTGTGTCATGGTGTGTGTCATGGTGTGTGTCATGGTGTGTGTTATGATGTGTCATGGTGTGTGTCATGGTGTGTGTCATGGTGTGTGTCATGGTGTGTGTCATGGTGTGTGTCATGGTGTGTGTCATGGTGTGTGTCATGGTGTGTGTCATGGTGTGTGTTATGATGTGTCATGGTGTGTGTCATGGTGTGTGTCATGGTGTGTGTTATGATGTGTCATGGTGTGTGTCATGGTGTGTGTTATGATGTGTCATGGTGTGTGTCATGGTGTGTGTCATGGTGTGTGTCATGGTGTGTGTCATGGTGTGTGTGTCATGGTGTGTGTCATGGTGTGTGTTATGGTGTGTCATGGTGTGTGTCATGGTGTGTGTTATGATGTGTCATGGTGTGTGTCATGGTGTGTGTTATGATGTGTCATGGTGTGTGTCATGGTGTGTGTCATGGTGTGTCATGGTGTGTGTTATGGTGTGTCATGGTGTGTGTTATGATGTGTCATGGTGTGTGTCATGGTGTGTCATGGTGTGTGTTATGGTGTGTCATGGTGTGTGTCATGGTGTGTGTTATGGGTGTGTCATGGTGTGTGTCATGGTGTGTGTTATGATGTGTCATGGTGTGTGTCATGGTGTGTGTCATTGTGTGTGTCATGGTGTGTTGTCATGGTGTGTGTCATGGTGTGTGTCATGGTGTGTGTCATGGTGTGTGTTATGATGTGTCATGGTGTGTGTCATGGTGTGTGTCATGGTGTGTGTCATGGTGTGTGTCATGGTGTTGTGTTATGATGTGTCATGGTGTGTGTCATGGTGTGTGTTATGATGTGTCATGGTGTGTGTCATGGTGTGTGTCATGGTGTTGTCATGGTGTGTGTTATGGTGTGTCATGGTGTGTGTCATGGTGTGTGTCATGGTGTGGCCATGGTGTGTTATGGTGTGTCATAGTGTGTCATGGTGTGTCATGGTGTGTTATGGTGTGTCATAGTGTGTCATGGTGTGTGTTATGGTGTGTCATGGTGTGTGTCATGGTGCGTCATGGTGTGAGCCATGGTGTGTGTCATGGTGTGTTTCATGGTGTGTGCCATGGTGTGTCATGGTGCATTTCATGGTATGTATCATGGTGTGTGTCATGGTGTGTGTTATGGTGTGTGTCATGGTGTGTGTCATGGTGTGTGTTATGGTGTGTCATGGTGTGTGTCATGGTGTGTGTCATGGTGTATGTCATGGTGTCATGGTGTGTCATGGTATGTGTCATGGTGTGTGTCATGGTGTGTCATGGTGTGTGTCATGGTGTGTCATGGTGTGTGTCATGGTGTGTGTCATGGTGTGTGTCATGGTGTGTCATCCAAGGATTTACTACAAGCATCCCACTCTGCCTCCCCCCACTCACACCACTCTGTCTCTCCCACTCACACCACTCTGCCTCCCCGACTCATACCACTCTGCCTCCCTCACTCACACCACTCTGCCTCCATCACTTACAGCACTCTGCCTCCCCCACTCACACCACTCTGCCTCCACCACTCACACCACTCTGCCTCCATCACTCACACCACTCTGCCTCCACCACTCACACCACTCTGCCTCCCCCACTTATACCACTCTTACCAGTCATCACCACCAAAATCTCATCTTTTCTCAGCCGCACTCCACCCCACTAGCCAACCCACCATCATCCACTAACCCACGCACCACCACCCACTAACCCATCCACCATCACCCAACCACCATAACCCTACTCATCATCATTACCTACACCCATGGTCTACTCCACCAGTGGGAGTTCTACACACTCATGGGCTCATGCCCCCCTAATTCTTTTCTCCATCGTGTCCCCACAAGAGTGTGAGGTACGCTAACCTGTCCTTCTCTCCTGGCAGAGTGCGGGGTGCCAACAATGCCACCACAGCCGGAAGGAAGGATCGTGAACGGCACTAATGCCAGGTTCGGGGAGTGGCCCTGGCAGGTGTCTGTAAGAAGGACGAGTTTCTTTGGCTTTTCGTCGACACACAGGTGTGGCGGCGCCTTACTCAACGAGCAGTGGGTGGCCACTGCTGGCCACTGTGTTGACGAGTGAGTGTCGACCCTCACACCTGTACCTGCTTCATACACTTGTCACGTGCACATGTCACCTGTCTACTACACCTTCATGTGTCACCTAAATCTCCACGTGTCACCTACACCTTCACGTGTCACCTACACCTTCACGTGTCACCTACACCTTCGTGTGTCACCTACACCTTCACGTGTCACCTACACCTTCACGTGTCACCTACACATTCACGTGTCACCTACACCTTCACGTGTCACCTACACCTTCACGTGTCACCTACACCTTCACGTGTCACCTACACCTTCACGTGTCACCTACACCTTCACGTGTCACCTACACCTTCGTGTGTCACCTACACCTTCACATGTCACATACACCTTCACGTGTCACCTACACCTTCACGTGTCACCTACACCTTCACGTGTCACCTACACCTTCGTGTGTCACCTACACCTTCACGTGTCACCTACACCTTCACGTGTCACCTACACCTTCGTGTGTCACCTACACCTTCATGTGTCACCTACACCTTCGTGTGTCACCTACACCTTCACGTGTCACCTACACCTTCACGTGTCACCTACACCTTCATGAGTCACCTACACTTTCACCTGCTGTCAGTTGTTCTATCAGATCATCTGGCATCCCCACTGTCAAGTCTACTGGCACTCTTATTAAACCAGCTGGCAGTCTTACTACACCAGCTGGAACAATCACTTCCAAAAGTGTCAGTGTCTTCAGGAAGTCTAACACTGTCTGACAGATACTTCACGTGTATGGTACCCATAACATTACTCAACTCATTCTCCTTCTGTTTCTGTAATGATTTTCTGATTATTCTCTAAATAAATTGAATCAGCGTTTATTATCATATTTACTGAAGTGTCTTGAACATTTCTTTCCTCTCCCTCGTGCAAGAATATTTTTTTTCGTCCCTAGTTCGCGTAGAATATTTTTTCCTCCATGTCCCTCGTTCGTGTGATATCCTGCTGTCACATGTTTGTAATTATCTTCCGATCCCTTTTAAAGTGTTTTTTAATATTCCATGCCTCTCCCTTGTAACAGCCTGCTGACGTCACAAATCCGGATCCGAGTGGGTGAGTACGACTTCTCGTCCACGATGGAGCCGTATCCGTACGTGGAGCGGGCCGTGAAGCGCAAGGCTGTGCATCCCAAGTACAACTTCTTCACCTACGAGTACGACCTGGCGCTGGTGCAGATGGTGGATCCCCTAGAGTTCCTGCCCCACATCTCCCCAATCTGTCTCCCCGGCAACAATGACCTCCTCATAGGGGAGAGAGGCACGGTAACAGGCTGGGGAAGGCTCTCAGAGCACGGCAGGCTGCCCTCAATCCTGCAGAAGGTAAGTATAAAACGGGGAAGGGAAAGAGATTTATGTGTAGCCTAAGAGAACGATTTCAAAGGTAATTTAGGAACAGAAGAGCTAAGAATGAGCGTCTCCGAGCTGGATTCACCCTCTTTTGAAGCCTCCCTCAGGGTGATATTGGGAAAATAAGAGTATGGGTGAAAGGGAAACAATGAAAAAGGATGAAGAGACGATGTTCCACAACATTTTCAAACGTAATTCCAGTTTTCACGAAGGAAAATGCTCAGTACCCAAAGGCTGGATCCTGGCACCCACACTGTTTCTCATCCTCACAGAAAATGTAGATTTAATCACCATACACAGCTTCGTCTCATTTTTTGTGGATGACGCAGAAATGAGAATGAAAATCTCTCAAGTGGAAGACACCGAGAAATTTTGAACAAATGTCAACAAAGAATATGTCATCTTTAATGGTGAAAATTTCCAGTTGAATTGATGTAGAAAAAATGAAGAACTGGAAGCGATGATCACAGGATAAAAAACTGAGACAAATGATCTCACAGAACGAAAGAAACTTGTTAAAGACTTGAGAATAATAACGACAGATGACCTATCGTTTAGAAAATTCAATAAACCAAATGGTTCAAACACCAGGGAAATAAAAGAGTGAGTTATGAGAACATACATAACAAGGAGTGCTCACAGTGCCTTACAAGGCAACAAACACATCTGATATGGATTAAGTACACAGATGGTTGTCTGACCGAAAATAATTAATGAAATATGACTGGTATACTCCAGGTATACTCCGGGTGGTGAGTCCTCTAAGTAAACAGCACATCCTCAGCAGGAACAAGATAGGTACGTAATATGTACAGGGAAAATACTCGAGGAAAGTTACTAATCTGTACAGTACCACAACAACTTACTTGGGTGATAGAGACCATAGGCAGTTTAGAATAAACCCAGTGCAGTGGCTTGGTTGGCAGCACACTCATCTCACATGCTGAGTATCCGTAGTTCGATCCCAGGCACGGGTGGAAACACTAAGCACGTTTCCTTACACCTGCCCCTGTTCACCTAGCAGCAAGTAGGTACCTGGGTGTTAGTCGATTGTTATGGGTTGCATCCTGGGGGTGGTGGTATACCCTAGATAGGGCTGGACTTTGAGCTGAGGCAGGATAACAGCTTATAGCCTGTAAAACTGATTTGCTAAAGAAATATA